CTTGGAGAGGGCTGGCTGCCCCCTGGGCTAGGCGCGGGGCTGGCACGGCCACCCCATCACTGCCCGCAGCCCGCACTGGCCGGTGGCACGTTGTGCTGCCCGAGCCCCCCGGGGCCATCCTGGCTGCACTGGAGAAGCCATGGGGGAAAAAAACCATGGAAAGCAAATAAAGACAAAACCCCTCCATCTTCTGGAAATTGTCTTGGGTCAAGATCTTTAGGTTTAAAGAACCCTTCCACAGGTGTCAGCGGGCCAGGGACCGCGCTGGCCGTGCAGGAGGGTCAGAGGAATTTGCGAGCCACTTAGAGGCTCCTGCACATTAAATCTTTACGTACCCCCCAAAGGCAATTCTCCTGCCCCCCAACCATCATGACCCAGCTCTGTGGCTCCCGTGCCCAGCAGCAGGTCCCGATTTCTTGCATCTCCTGCTTTTCTCACCATTTTATGAGGCTAAATAGCAAGAGGGCAAATAGGATAATCCCAGGGGTGAATGGGGGATGCAGTTCTGTGTTGCTGTGTGCCTTGTGTTCATCATTCAGTGACATGCTGGCGACTGGCCTGATGCGAGGTAACGAGCAGTAATTAGTTACAAAAATGAGGGGGTGGGCAGATTGCCAATTGTTTAAGGGTGCCACAGTGATGGGGGCAGCCAGGAGAAGTCCCTTTTCTGAGGGATCAAACCTTTTTTTTAAAAACATCTGGCTCAATTACGGACCAAAGGCCTAGCTCTGAGCAGCAGCAGGGACAGCCCAGATGTCCCCGGGTCCCTGCCCTGGCTGCAGCTGGAGTGTTGGAGCACGGACAGGCCCTGCTCCCCCTGGGGAATGTGCCCCAACCCCGCTCAGCCCCGCACCGGGCTGGGGCTGCTGCTTGGTGCCCAGCCGCTCCAGGTCAGCCTGGGTGGATGGAGCATCCCTGGGCACATCTCTGAGGGTTACCCACGCAGAGCGTTCCCACTCCCTGTCCGAGGTTCCAGAGGGACATTTCTGGCTGGGCTGGCTACAGCTGCTCCTTCAGCTCAGAGGAGCTCTGGGACAGCTCCTCCCAAACCCGTTCCATCTCTGTAACACTATATATACACACCATGCTTACCTGGCACTGCAGCTTCCTCATGGCCAGGGTAGGAGGAAGAGGAGGCAGCAATGAGCAGCTCAGGGGAAGCCTTGTGCTTGTTAGTGGCAGAATTTAAAGGATTTTCCTCCCACCCATTCGGGCGTTTCACTGGCAGCAGCTGCAGCACCATGCACATGTGCAAAGCATTGACGGGCGAGTGGTTGCTGGCAGCGAGCATCCTGCTGCGGGGTGCCCCTGGCCAGGCTCCCAGTAAAGCCCGGTTTCTTGTCAACCCGAGCCCTACGCGGCAGGTTGTGCTGGGCATCGGTTTGTAAGCTGGTGGGCAAAGGGCAAGGAAAGCCGCAAACCACGCGGAGTTTGGTTTTACTCCTCCGAGGCACAGTCGTGGGACCACAGGGCTGCAGCCGACGGAGCAAAGCCTGGCGTGGCCGCGATGCCCCACGGCGATGGTGTGCAACCGCAGCGGGAACGGTTTGGGCTGAACCCGTAACCACACGTGCCCAGCCACGCGCGTGCAGGCGTGTGCGGCGTCACCCCCCCGGCAGCGCGGTCGGGGAACTCCCCTCCCCTCAACGCGCCCTGGAACAACAGCCGCGGGGAGCACTCGATATTTTTCCCTCGTAGATACAACTGGTGCGGGCAGAAAATATCAGCTGCCACTTGGAGAGGGGTGCAGAGGCCAACTCCATTAAAGCTGCGGGAATTGGTACATTTGACACAACACCGGCTATAACTTAAAGCCAGAGTATGAATAATAGAGCTCTGCGCTCAGAACCACAAGTGAAATCTATCTGATTGCTATATCGCCTTCTGCACAGAAACACAATCCGAAATCAATTCCCCGCGTCTGGCGAGCGGGCAGCCAGCGGCCAGGCTGCAGCCTTCGCTCCCCTCCTCGGCTCAGCCCGCCCGGCCGGGCAGCTCC